TAACAATTTAGCTGCTGTGTCTCATAATGTCTAGTAGCCACAGAGCAAGTGCTTAAATAAGGGCACATGGAGCAATCCTAATAAAGCAGATAATGGAACAATTTTTAAAAACTTTTGATTATACTCTATAATTTCCCGCTATCAGTCAGGCATGAACTAAATAGGTAAACATTTTTTTACTTCTTGCACAAGCAAAGAACATTTTCCAGCAAATTCTTGGGAAGGCAATCTATTGTCCTTATTACTTTTGCCACCTCATTTTAGGAGGACCACATACACCATTTCAGACAGATGTATTTTTTTAATTCTTCAAGTTACAATGAAGCTTAGTTCTTCTAGTTCTGTGTTTAACAGAGATGAAGAATATTTGCTCAAAATCCTCTAAGAAAACATCTCCAGGCACATGAACATTCTTTTCAACTCTCTTGGAATCATTTCTTCTCTAGATAACTTTGTTCTCTTAATTTCCCACCACCACCACCACAAGTTCCAATTTTCCAATATTTTGCAAGATTTTAAAACTCATAAATTCTCCACATTCCCTTTAAGTTATAAAAAATTAAAGATTTAGCTCTCCAACAAAGATTTGCTATAGGCCAGTTATGAAAAAAAGTCAGTTTTCACATGCTAAATTTCTACTTACATACTTCTGAAACGCTTGCTGCATAAGGTATGGTTCTATATTTATGGCTTGTGTACCTACTTTGAGGTCTAGATCTTTTTCTTTCAAATTTAGAAAATTAGTTCTTCCATATTTTGTTTTTAATTGATTGTCTTCATATACCCATATGTAATTTAGTTAGTTTCTAGCCACTTGTCAATTTATCAGAGTGATTTGGAATTTTATTTACATTTCATAATTTCAGCAGTTTCACTGAAAAAAGTATTGTGCAACACAAGGCCTCAGAATGATACCTGCATCAAAACATTAATAGCCATAGATGTCGCTCCAAATTGGCACTGATCCAACTCTTTGGTCTACTTTAAATCCTTCTATTTTTTTTTTAAATCTTTTTTTTATACAGGCATGTTTTATTTATTTATTTATTTATTTGTTTGTTTGCTTTGTTTATATATGCACTGGGTACAGTCAGAAGCGCAGGAGGGTGAGAGAATTCACCAGAGCCAGAGCGGGGAGCAAAGCAGGCAGAAGGACCGAAGTACACTGCTGAGGGGAGCAGCGGGCGGCAGGAGAGGTCTGCTTGCCATGTGGGACCCTCCTCCGGAGGCTGGGGAGCAGCCGGGGATCGAACAGGCACCACAGATGCCGCGGGCAGCCTTGCAACCCAGCGCTCAACCGCTGCGCCACTGGGGAGGCCCAAATCCTTCTATTTTCTAAGCCTAGTACACTACCATTCCAGAAGTGATATGCCAAATTTTATTCATTTTTCATAAGATTGAGATGAGGTAAGGGAGAATATCCATTATAGCTTTCTCAGAGAACTTTTGAGTTTCCCAGAGAAGGGGATCACTGTAGGCCATAGTCATTCTAACACCTAAAGGTTGTCCCTTGAACCAGAATTGATAGAAAAGTCAAAATTAGAAGTGATAAATTTAGGTGAGACTAGGAAAAGTATGGTAAAGTTATCAACAAGAAAGGGATCCTTTGGAAAGGGAGGCAGGAAATAAAGACTATATCTACCCACTTGACTATTTGGCCTCACGCCATAAGTGGCCATGTTTCCAGACTCTGGATAGTTTTTTGATACAAGACCCACACTATGAGGTCAAGGTCATATGCCTGAGCCTTATGTGAGTCAATGGGCACCAGTTTCACAGTCAAAAAACTGCCTTTTTGCCCAGTCACTTATGTGTCTTAAAAGGAGTGGGTGTGGACCAATTAATACAAATTCATCACCATCACTGGAAAAATAACCAGGAACAGATGACTATGAGTCCACCATACATAGCACAAGTTTCACCTGATGGTCTTGGGTCAGACAAATATAAGAAATAAAACTCTTGCTATTTATTAGTCCTATGTGTGAACCTAGACAAGATAATTTTTCAGAGCTTTACATGTAATACACATTAAGGGTCTCAAGCATTGCTTGATTTGCTTGAAATAAAGGGATGTTAAGTGACTCAGCCCCAGATCCTTCTAGAGAGGAAATCTGGGAGTTAAGGGCACAGGGATGGAGCCGGGTCCGCCTGTGTTCCAATCCTGGTTTTGCTGGTGGTGAAACACTGGGCAAGTGACAGTCTCATCCTTCTCAGGAGATTGGAATAATGAATTAAAGCATTTAGATAGTGTTTCACACACAGCAAATGTCATAGCAGCTATTTTTTTTATTGTTAATAAAATTAAGAGATATTACCATCACTATCTGTTAATCAATGTTTCTCAGGGTATGGTCAGGGAACTATGGGTAACATAATGAACTGGGGTATTTGTTTTTAAAAAAAAAAATCCCATGTCCCACCTTAACCTAAGGTTACTAAGAATGTCACCAAGTAGTATTCATTTCTGAATCAAACCACATTGAGATTTAAGAATTACTGATGCAGCTTGTAGTGTGCTGTTTCACAGTAAATTAAGACTTACCTTCTAATATTTACTCTTTACTATGACAGGAGAATTACACAAGAATCTAGTGTTTTCCATAATTTTGGAACTTTTTAGACCTACATTAAATTGATAACTATCATTCCCCCACCCACTGTGGCACTAATTTGACTCCCCCCAATACCACCCTCACCAGGGGTTCACGAACCTTGGCCTTGAGTTGCGAACACCCCCAATCTCCTGAGGGACCATGTGGCTAAAGAGCAGTTTAAAAAAAAAAAAAAAAAGAACATGTCTTAGAGACCATATGTTGTTCACAAAGCCTAAAATATTCATTTTGTGGTCCCTTGCAAGAAAGGCTGCCAACCCCTTAGAAGTCTAAGCTTATTTTTAAACTGAGGGTCTAGCAAGCACTGATTAGAACAGAAAATGCTCTGGTAGAGATTTTTCTATTGCACCTAGGAGAAGTAAATGCTACAAAGCCTCAGTTTTTTATATGTGTGTGTGTGTGTGTGTGTGTGTGTGTGTGTGTGTGTACAGGATAATAACCAAATCACATTTGGTTGCAGTCAAAGAAGTTTTAAAGCCCTTGGGGGTAAGCTGGGGAATAAACAGTACAATAGGTTAAAAAGTATTTATTAAAAGTCACATAATACTACAATAAAGGTACCTTGGAGAACACAAAACCATAGAAAATGATCCCTGCTGCTTAGAAGTTAACAGTTTATTTCCTTGTTGCAAAAAGTAAATAAAAATCTATTCTGTGTACAAAATACAACGTTGAAAGGAGAAAAATGGAATCATCAATGCAAAGAACTTCTAAAACATAAACAAAATAGTTTACTAATATTAAGTGTATTGTAGCCAACATATTGTACATAGCTTCTTTACCAAGTCCTTTAGTTTCTAATTTCCTCTGATGGGAAAACTAGCTCTTTTTTCTCTTTGTGTGTGTATGTGTGTGTATATGTGTGTGTGTGCACGCCAGTTTGTCAGGAGCATGAAAGTACCAGAGGCCTCTGCCCTTTCTATGTCATCCATTATTGGTTTCTCCTTCCCATCTATTCCAAATATGTATTCTTTTATACTTTTCTCACTTCTAGCATTTGATTAAATTCTTGTGTAAAAAGGATCAATTATGACCATGATTGGGAAAACTATCATATCTCAGGAAATTCTAACAGTCCCAAATTACAATTTTTAAAGTAATATTCCCTTTCATCTTCTTAAGGCCTTAATTTCCAGGATTTTCCTGATTGTTTCAGAGAAACTAAAAACACACTTGATTTTATAACACATTTCAACAACTCTGCAAAGAAGCACTTTCCTAGAGACATGCATGAGAATGAAATGGCACCCTAAAATATTTTCATTAAAATGCTCTGTGGACACACAAACCACAAGTAATGTGAATAAAAACTGCTGCAATGCTGACTGCATATTTGCCTTACACCAGAAAGACAGCACTTGCACATTTGCACACCGTGGTATTTTAGCTTGGGGGCATCACAAAGATGAGATGTAGCATGTCGTATAAATACAGGAGGCTGTAAATGTGCGTGCGTGCCTATGTGTTAGGGAAAGAGGGTTGTAAGCAGAAGGGGTGGGACTTGCCAGGAGCAGCTATTTGAGAAAATTCCTTTTTCTTTCCCATTCATTCTTTCTAGTTTCAGTGTCTGGCACAGTCCTTACAATTACTCACTGGTTTTTCATTCTAAAGACAACCAACAAGCTTTTAGAACTTCCTACAGTGTTTTTCACACACTTTTTAAAAAAAAAAAAAAAGGCACCAAATCATTCAATATTTGTTTTAAATAAAAAGCAAATCATTAGCCCATTTCCTCATTCCAAAGACCCCACGGGCTGCAGGCTAAACAGAATGCTTTGTTGTGAGTCCAAAAATAACAGAAGATATTGGTAAATTAGAAAAGAGATTATTCGGTTTCCAAGAATGTCAACGCTATTATCTCGAATTTTGCTCTGCCCCAGTGAATCCAATTCCATGCTCCTTTTAGTGAATATGCCGTCGCAACAACAGCACGGCCAATCAAATTTAATGCTCCTCGTTTTCTCTTTGCTCACACCATTAATAAATATAAGGACTGAAAGAGGACAAGAGAGCCAGCCACTTTCCTTTATACACAATGGTGTCGTCAACCAGAACGTCGCCAACCACAGATAAAGTTGTCTTTCTACCAGATGCCCACCCTGAACGGGTCGTGCTCTGCCTCTGCGCCCAGGGGAGGAGAGGGGGCAGACAGGTAGCGCACCCTAACCTTTCAGCTCCCCACCTCCAGAGAGCAGGGAGCGAGGGGGAGGGCTTGACAGGGGAGCAGAGTAGGAAGGTGGGCGAGTGGGAGAGACAGAAAAGGATGCACAGCGGGTGGGCGAGATGGGAAGGTAGGGAAGAAGTGGGCGGGGAGCGCTGCGGGATGAAAGCGCAAAGGGGGTGACAGCGGTGGAGAGCGGGGGTGTGCAGGGATCGGGTCCTCACCATTGAACGCCCCTGCGTCTGCGGCCTCCTCCTCCTCTTCCCCGTTCTCAGAGTCGGGGTGCACCGGCTCCTCGGCGAAGTTGACCCCCTTGCTGGGGGTCCCGCCCCCGGCGGCGGCGCCCGCGTCCCCCCAGGTCCTGCCCTCATGGCCGTAGCGCGGGGCGCCTTTGCGCTCATTCTCCTGCTGCAGGCGCGTGAAGTGCTGCAGCGCGAACTCCAGCAGGTCCGCGGGCTGGTGCCTCAGCACCTCCACCGTGAAGCCCTGCAGCAGCTCCGTCAGTCCCGCCGGGATCTCGATGCTCATCCTGCCTCCGGGGCGGCGGGCGCCCGGGCGCCGACCTCGCCCCCTCCCCGACCCGCCTCGGGCCCCGCGGCCGCCAAGCACGCGCGGACGGCGCTGGAGGCGCTACCGGCTGCGAGCGAGGCGCACTGGGGCCCGGCGGCCCGGCTGGCCCGGCCCGCGGCTCCCGGCGCGCGGTGGCTCCGAGCGGCGGCGACGGCGGCGGGATGGCGAGCGCGGCCCCGGGAGGGCTGGCAGCATCTCCGGCTCCTCCCGCTCCTGCCGCGGCTGCTCCTCTCCCCCGCCCGGGCCGCCCCGCCCCCGCCCCGCCGCGGCGCGCGGGAGGGGGCGCCGGAGCGCGCCCACGTGACCCGAGGAAACCATGGCAACGCCGCGGGCGGGCGCCGCGCACCAGCAGCTCGCTGGGTTTGCCCGCCTGAAGACTCCGGCGGGCGCCGGCGGGCTGGCGCGGAACCCTTCTCCCGCGCGCTGCAGGGGCGTGGGGCCCTTGATGGCGTTACCCCGGCCCCGCCCTCAGGCGCGCCCCGCCGTCCACCTGTCTCCGGCCGGACCCCTCCCGTCAGCCTCCGCGGGGAGCCCACGCAGCGCCGCGGCCGCGCGACGTGCCCTGAAACTTCGGCGTCCTCCTCGGTAGTGGCGTTTTATTTTCCTCAGAGAAGCTGGTGGCGTTGCTAAGTGTTGGTGATGTCTTTTGTTTAAAGTCAAATAGCGACACAGGTTCTCTTTCGGACGGAAAATCAGACCCCATCTTTGTTACCCCTTTTTCTTTCGGCACATTTGGTCCTGTCTTTCGTCCTCCATCCTGAGGCTCCTGTCTTGCTGTTCTCCTCCTATGCCATTGTCCACCCCATGCATTGACCACTATTTCGTGAGGTAAATGCACCATTTTTTCTGAGGCATTTATCAGTTAGTCTATGCCTTCAAGCCAGGATAGTGCAGTTGTTTGAAGAAAATGTTACAGCGAGAGAAAGAGACCAGGTTACGCTTGTTATTTTAAAACTTTCCTTTAGAGTTTGAGGGATTTCAAATTTTATCTTCCAAAATTAGGAATAATGCACTATAAAGAAGACTAGGACAGAGACGTGTGCTTTCAAAGCACAAGTCCTTGACTTTGAAATGAGGCTTAGTCTGCAAATGCTTACTATTTTGATTGAGAAAATTGCTTTTTGCCAATTAAATTCTATTTGAAAACCCATACTTCATTTTCTACAATGACCACCATAGCATTGTAAATGAAATATTTCAAGGGCAAGCTCACTTAGTTTTTCTGATTTATCCTCCTGCCCACACAGAAGAATAAATCATGATTCAGGAAATTGAGAGACTAAAAATTAGGATGCTACATACTAATCCCTTTTGTAGAAATACATTTGATATTAACCCATCCAAACTATTCACACCACGGGTGAATGTATTTCTCTATTTCCCTTTCTTATCAACCTCATATGTTGTTTTTAAATATAATGAAGTATTTCTAATCATGTCACACATTATAACCAGTAAGCTTTTATAAAAGACCATGATCCTTGCTGCGTGGAAGACCGTATTCATCAAGTTCTAACTGGATAAGCATTATTATCTTTACGTATCCAGTAATTTAATTTGAAATCACATCATCTATCTTCATTTTTGGTGTTTTATTGAGATTTAACATTGTTCCCAATGCAAACTGTAGTAGAAGATAGAAGAAGATAGAAGATAGAAGCTTGTTTGTCTAAAATGTAAATATAGGAAGTTCAGGGATGACTAGCGGTGCCGTGATCATCAGCCACCCAGGTTCCTTCCAGCTTATTGCTCTGTAATTGTCTGTTGTTAGTTCAAAACTGCTGCCTTGCCTCCATTGATTTCATCCATATTGCAGTCAAAAAGAAAGTACAACGAAGTATGGAACCTTCTGGCCACACACACCCTCCTCTAAGGATACTTACAACAAGTTAAATACACCAATTCCACTTAAATCCTCTTAGTCAGAAATTAGTATTTGTATTTTCCAATGGTGGCTGCAAAAATATCTCCTGTTCTATGAACCATGTGACTCTGCCACTCCCCCAATAAGTGTTGAAGTCTTTAGTCCGCTCCTCTTGAGTCTGAATGGGCTGGGACTGCTTCGATAGAGGTCATGCTAGCATGAGGGAGTGGCCAGCCCTGTGATGCCCTGTTCAAAATCCTGACCTACAGAATCTGTGAGCATAATGAAAAGGTCGTGTTAAGCCTCTAAATTTACAGGTAATTTATTACACAACAATAGTAATGGAACACAGTAATGTAATCTTTATTTTGAGCAGGCACATGCCAAGCAAACATCTGGGGATTAAGGAGAACCAATTCTGGGAACATAATCAATGTCTGCCCCAATACTTACCCTTTTCCCCTGGATGACAAAAGAAAAAAAAAAAGTACTACTTCTCCAAACATTTACAAGAGCATTATTTCAAAATAGCATCTTACATTTTGGGTTGTAAAATGTATTTACCCCCTTTTTGTAGAATTATTATTTGAAGCATGGTAGATGGCTTTCAGTCATCAGCCACAATGCCAAGGTCAAGTGGCTCTCATTTCTTTAGGGTTGTAGAAGTGAGTGAAACATGAAATGCATAATCAGAATAGATGATCTATATGGTCTCTCCTGTCATAAAATAGTCTACAATTATATCATGTTTTAAAAAGGTACATTGACTTTAAAACACATTTATAAATGGCTTTCTGTAAGTTTGTATTTGTATCAATTTTAAATCAATTCCCATGATCAAAAAAGTAAAGCTTGATCCTAATCCTATTATGTTAATAATACCCTCAGAATAAACACCCACCTCTCAAATCATATTCTGCCTTTGATTCACTGCCACATGACCTTTTCGGTAATATTGCATGCTTTCCTTTTCAGAATATTTCCTTTCAAACCTTGCAGTGCAGTGACAGTGGCTTATGGGGACTATTTATCTTTGAATTCTTTAAAAGAACATCACAGATATTGATTCTTTGGTTGTTGATTTACAAAGCAATTTGCACTAGTTTCTCAGAGAATCAGAGCAATTGCAAAAGAATTCCAAGGGCTCAGTGTTGGAATGAAATAAGAGTGCAACTGCATTTGTTTTCACACATGGGAAATTAAACAGAAATTGGACAGAGACATCAATTTGCTTGCATGCAGCTGCCAAAACAGTACAATAGCATGGATAAGCCAATGGCTTGGGCAAACTTTACAGCGGATAATAATAATCATGACCAAGCAATCATGCAGCATTTCTTATCAATAGTTAAGATGTATCCAGATCAACTCTCTCTGGTACAAGAAAGAAATAGCCACTCAAGCAAATAAAAAACAAAAAGCAGGTAGATAAATTGAATGTACATAGACCCTGAGCATGCACAGGACTCACTGTGGCCATCAGTACATTTTATATATCTTTAGAAGTTTACATTAACCATGGTTTTGTTGTCCCTATTTCATATCCTCAAGAGAAAGAATCCAGTAGTTAGTTTTAACCACCTATTTGTTTGTCTGGTCTTGAGTGAGAGGTTTCCTCCTGTTCAGCCAGTGTGGCCAGTGGGGCACAGGATAAGGACGTGGTCAGAAAGTAGAAATACAAGGCCTGCCTTTTCAGCAGAGAGAAAAGACCCAAACATGGGCACCGTAGCTGGTATAGGCACCTCACAGCTGATCTACTGTGGTCTATGAGATGGTCCACAAAATGGTCACCTCATAGTCTGAAAATCTGATAAACATTTAGATTCAGAGCAAATAAAATAATCCCTAGGTGCTTCTTTGCAAAGAGTTGCCTTTAGGAGACCAATGCTTCTCAAACTTCAGTGTCAGAATCACCCACAGGGCTTGTTAAACAGAGTTGCTGGCCCCAACACCAGATTTTCAAGTCAGTTGGTCTAAAGTGAGGCCAGGGAATCTGCAAGGCTATCCAACTCTGGGATGATCTGGGTCTGGGGTCACAGTTGGGATCTGCTACACTGGGTCCCCTAAGGAAGAGTTTATACTCACATTGAAATAGCAGTCGCTCAAAAGTCACTCCAATTACACTTTTTCAAGCATCAAATAAATTTTATGAAAACAAGAAAGTAAATTGAGAAGTGGGAATGCACAAGGGAACTGACCTGTGTTCTCACTGCCACATCAGCCAACTGACCTGCACCTATAGCCATATACTCTACCTTCTGCCTGTTCTCTGTCTACCCATGCTCCACCCTTTTCTTCTGACTTACTCAAGGAAATTGCTCACAACTGCCAGCTCTCTCTTTTGTCCTAAATTTTCCCTTTCTTTTCTTTTTTTTTTTCACTTTTTCATTGTTACTTTGTTTTTTTTTTAATTTAAATAATAAATTTTATTTTTATATTCCCCCATACAATTCCAAACGCCCCATTCTGACCCCAATCCCTCCCCTCCCGCCCCCCACCCCCCTCCCTTTCTTTTCTTTTTAATTTTTAATTTCAATTTTTTTTAAAGATTTATTTATTTGTACATACAAGAGCTGGAGTACAGACCAGAGATGTAGGGGGTGAGAGGATTCACCAGAAACAGAGTACAGAACAGAACAGGCAGATTGACTGAAATACACTGCTGAGGGGAGCAGCAGGCGAGACAGGAGAGGTCTGCTTTGCCATGTGGGTTGCTCCCTGGCCAGCCAGGGGATCGAACTTGTGCTGCAGAGGCTGTGGATTGCTTCATAGTGCCGTGCTTAACCCTTTGCATCACCAGGGAGGCCCTTAATTTTTTTTTTTTTTTGCAACATGTTTTTTGCAACCATCCTAATGCAAACAGGCTCTAGTTCTTGCTTTCTATTCACTTTCACACCCTGTCTCATCTCCTCCTTTTAGTGTGAGTGGTGCCTGTTACTTCCTTCTAGCCAATAAATTTATGGCAAAGATGAAAGGTTTTTGCTGATGAATTAAGGTTCCAAAGTAGCTGATTCTGAGTTAATAAAAAAAGTTTACCCAGAACTTGACTTAATCAAGTGAAAACCCTTTCAAGTGAAAACCCTTGAAAGAGAGACCACAGCCTCCCTGAAAGGAAAGATTTTCCTTGCCTA